GTATTAAAAGCAATAAATAATGAGATGAAATGCCTTTGGTAACTGTTTATTTCGTAGTGTAAGCCATCAAGCTTTTCTAGGTTGTCGGCGACCCTATATAGTTCTTGCAGTTTGAAACTTCACACTATCCTTGGATCCCTAGTTTTACTCAAGCCGTTAATATCATTGTAGTTAAGAGATTTTTCTGTGTTCATGAACATCACAAGTGGATTTAATTCGAAAATATTTCGATCGATGCAGCGAGGTACGCTTTCGTATTAAAATTAGCTACTCGGGGGAAACCCGGAGATTATTGTCAATGCTGATATTTATCAATCTAAATTGTGTATGTCTATTCTGCACGATTGGAAATGAATTTAAACTGGAAAAAAGACTTGATCTAGAAGACTACTAAGATACTGATTATTATAAAAGATGCAATCGTGCATGCCAATTGAATTGGATTATAGTTTGAATAAGGGTTTTGATTAGTGTTTCAACCAGGTCTTGGCTGAAATTTAATAGAAGAGTCATATATGGAATAGTCTCCAAATGACCCCCACCCCAACTCTATCCTGACTCCAATCCTACACCAACCCCACCTCTACTGTGATGTCATTTGAGGACGTTTATATCAACTTCACCTGGAATTTGTTTAAGCAGAGCTAATAAAGGGTGAAGTTTATTTTCATACAAGAGTTTTCAAATGACGTCACAAAAACGCGAGGTTGGGGTAGGGTTGGGTTTGGGGCAGAGTCGTACTGGGGGTGTGGGTAGGCCAGGGCATGTGGGGACTCTTATATGAAACGTCGGCCAGAATCGTGAAGCCAAATTCTGAAGCCAAATCCGAAGCCTCTTCGCGTAGACCCTGACGAACTAAATACCCATTTTGCCACCACGGCAGAGAGAACACTCGAGGCCTCTGCTGTGTCTTTGAGTGACCTGACAAGCCTGACAGACAATCTGCCTGAACAGAGTTCTAATGGCGATCAATTTAATCTGAAACCTGTCACCCAAGAGAATGTCTTCAAATGTATACGTGCATTACGCTCAGATTGTTCCACTGGTGTTGATAATATTCCAGCCAGATTCGTCAAGTTGGTCGCTGAGCATCTTGCCTGTCCTCTAACTAGCATAATAAACAAATGCATTAGCAACGCATATTTCCCAAAGCTGTGGAAAATAGCCAGAGTCTCCCCAATTCCTAAAGTAGAAAACCCAACATCGAATGACCAGCTACGGCCAATCTCAATACTCCCAGTGTTATCAAAGGTGTTTGAGAAATTGGTTGCTTGACAAATGTCAGAATTTGCAGAGAGAGAGCTGCGCTGCTACCTGATCGCATTTCAGGTTTCCGAAAGGGACATTCGACAACAAGCGTCCTTTTGGGGATACGAGACGATATCCGTCATGCTATGAAAAAAGGGGAAATTACCTTGATGGTCCTAGCAGACTTTAGCAAAGCATTTGACACCATTTGTTTTAAAAGCACCATTGAAAAGTTTTATAAGTTGGGCTTCTCAACGACCTTCCTGAAGTGGTTGCTGAGCTATTTATCTGGTCGTTCCCAGTTTGTGCAGATAGACGATAAATCTTCTTCTCATAAACCAATACATTTTGGAATTCCTCAAGGATCGATCCTGGGGCCATTGATTTTTAACCTCTACGTTGCTGACTTGAATGACGTCATTTCTTCTCATATCAACTGTTATCAGTATGCAGACGATACAACCTTGTATAATCATTGCAAAGTGGCAGACCTCACGACTGGGGAAACGAGCATGAATAAAACTCTCACTAAACTTAGCAATTGGTCACAAGGATCGAATCTGGCACTTAATCCAACCAAGACAAAATGTATGCTGTTCACTACCAGTCAGATGTCAACATACCACTCCCTGTCATCGCGCCCTCTGCAGCTTGCTGTTGAAGAGAAAGTACTGGAACGAGTAAAATCAACGAAACTACTCGGAGTACAACTAAAAGAGAATCTAAAATGGGACGCCCATGTAAAACATCTTGCCTC